CCTCTATAACTAATAATTTGTAAGAATCAAGTTGGATTATATTCATATTTAAATCTGTTAATATTTATAGAATTTAAATTTAACTTATTCTGATATAGTTCAGATTAATTTGAATTTTTAAGAATAATATTATATATTTTATTTTATTAAAATTTTAAAAATATATATACAGTCAAAGCTCATTATAATAAAATCCTATTATAATAAATTTTGGTTTATAGTAAACTTTTTATTTCCAATTTATTCTATATAAAATTTTATTTTTATAATATTCTTCTTAATCATGTGACTATAAAGTGTAATTTTATTGGTAGATATTATTATCATTATGTATTATTTCTTTCTTATAACTTATTAGTTTTATGTAGCTTCCTAATTGAATACATTATGCTGAAATTTTTTCTCCAACTAATGTTTTTGATGGTTAAACTTTACTTCAAATCTGCTTTTCACCAATCAGATAATAAATATAAAATTAATATATTTTTAAAAAATCTTTTATTTTCAACAGGTAAACCTTTCTAATCCTTTAAAACTTTAGAATTATAACTTATTTATATATATATAATAAGAATTTTAATAGAATTAAGATGATTTTGAAATTAATTGTAATTGTCATATGATTAAGTTAAGTAAAAAAAATTTTTAAATTTTTAGATAAAATTTTAAACTTGATATAATTACCCTAGAGATTTTTTTTCTTTTTTATATCACAAATAAAGATAAATCTATATAAATTTGCTTTCTTTTAAACAAAATCTGATATGCTGATTTTATTATGTAAAATCACATGATAAAAATTTTACAATAAAAAAAATTCTGAATTTTCGTAAACTGACATAGCCAGGTCAAAATTTACTTTGTATGACCTTATTCTCTTAAAGATCGACTAATCAGATGGCATAATATTTATATATAAACTTTTTTTATTAATAAAAAATTTTCATTAATAAACTTTTGGGTCTTCAGGTCGATTTTTAAATTTTAATATTATTTTAACTGAAAAATTGAAGTTGCATGACCTTACAATTTTATTTTTAAATAAATAATTCATAATTTAAATTTATTTTATATATTATTGATTTAATAAAATAATAAAATTTATTAATTTATGATTAAAGTTAAACATTATTATCTTATATAAAGACTATCTAAAATATAAATAATTATTCTTTTTTCTCTAGTTAAAAATCAAATATTTTACTTCTTTAAGTATAAAACATGTTATAATAGGAATATATTAGTTATAATATATATATCTTCAATTTTGTATTTCTAATAAATGGCTATATATTTCTTTAATATTATATAACTAATAAATTGAACTATTTGTTTTAAAGTTGTTTGAAAAAATTCAATATCTGCTATTTCATTAATATTATCTATTACTATTAATTCTTCTATTATTTTATCATTAAGTTCTATCAAATTTGTCATATAATATAATGATTGATTTATTTTATCATCATAATACCTTTTTAACATTATAAGTATAAGATATTGTTAAAGGGATTTGTTAAATTTTAGCAAATAAAAAGTTTGTATTACTTTGATTTTATATACTAGAAATAGATAAATACCAAAATTTATATATTTTTTCCTTATCTTGTAAATCAAAAAGTTTTAGAATTTCAACTATAAGGTTATACAAAGATAAATTAAAGTTGTGTAACAATTTTTTCAAGCAAGCATTTACAGATTCAACTATCATCTCTCTGGTAAATTTAAATTTTGTGAAATAATAGATCTAATATGATTTTGTTTTATAAAAATTTTCTATGTATGTTTTTGCATTAGGATAATCTTTTATAAGATCTTTAAATTATTATTGAAAAACTTCTTCAACAATATAATTGTGGCAATTATAAAATGCTGTAAAGATCTCTTAATAATTGTTGCCTAACAATTTACTAAGAATCTTATGCAAATTTCAATTAATATAATAACAATGAATTAGATAAATTAATGAAAAAACCTGACAAATAGCAGCATCAACAGCTGGTTGAAAAATGCGATGCTCATTAAAACTACAGGTAATGAAAAAATATTTATTGTAGTTGTTGGTGCATGCTGATGAAACAAAATTACTTTCAGTCATTTATTTTCAAATTAAGGAATATTTATTCATGCAGTTGAAAAGGTATGGTGGATTGAAAATATTTGGACTAAACAATCTTCATTATAATCCACGTTCCCTTTTAATTTTTGATTCATTTTGTGCAAATTGAGTTAAAAATTAACTTGCTATAAAAAATACAAATTTAGCACTTATTAAAGGTATAGACAATTTTTATTTTATATTTTATTTTATTTTATTTTTATTTATATAAAATTAATTTAAAAGGTCTGTGCACTATAAAATCAATGGAGGGTAGAGGAAATTCATGAAACTAAACCCTCAAATCGTATTAAAGACCGTCATATTCAAAACGAGCTGAATGGGTAAAAATCGCGTGGGAATCTCTTGACCCAAATTTAATTAAAAATTCATTTAAATGTTGTGGAATACCTGTTGTAGACCATTCATAATAGGTTAATTGCAAAAGTTTAATTAAAATAAATTTTTTAGAAAAAAAAATTATCACGGCAAAATGATAGTCGGCAGGCGGTGATTACTACGTACGTATAAGGGTATCCTGTAGATAGCAAGACCGGAAGTTTTACCGGTTAACCATTAACTGTTAAACCCATTAATTTGACCAGAATTATTAGATTTTTTGGTTTTTAAAAAAAAAGATGTGATGTAATAAAACGTGGGGCATCAGGTTCGATCATTTTAGTGAAAAATAAAAAAATAAAATATTATATATACCGGAAAGGAAAGGAGGCTTTAAGTAAATATGCAAAGTAATTGATAAAAAAAAAAGATTCTTACAATCTAAATGGTGGATGTATGAAGCAGTGTGACTAAAAAAAGGTGAACCGTAAATAGAAATCAATGAGTTGAGGCACTTTTATTTTTAAAAAAATTCTAAACGAATGGATCTAACCATTTAAACATGTAACCGTAATGTACAAATGATTTTTTGAAACGTAATAATGTTCTACTCGACGGACGCGGTCACCCATCTCTGGCCAATAATCAATTTTCCGACAAAAACGTGAGATTTTCAGGAAAAGAAAATCATGATCCAAGGATACTTGTGTTACAGAATAACTCATTTTTTTAATATAGTGACACCGCCACCATTTCTAATTGTAGAATTTTTGTTTACAAAGAGTTATTGATTGAAGTATCAAATTTATCATATATAATAAGAAAAGTTTAACCTAAAAGTAGATTTTTTGAAAGAAAACTGCAAAAAAATTTTTTCTTATGTAACAGGGCACCTTATCATCGGAATTCCCCTTGTTTGTGTAACAAATTGGCTAATTTTATTTCGACGATAAAATGTTCAAAGACTTGTAACACACTGTAATTTTTTTTACAATATATTTTACATAAATGTCTGTGATTTAATTTAGGCCAAAGTGGTTTTATCAAATTGGTAAGAAAGCCCGTGAAGATTCAAAAAATCAAAGAAGGTTGAAAGTAGGAGTCCAAACCAAAAAGTCAAAAAATAATCAAAGTAATTTGAATTTTGACAGTTGGTTGCTATTCTAGCCTGAAAAACGAAAGAGCATGCTTTTTGAGTAAAGTATATAGCAGAATTATAGCAGCATTTAAAAATTAATTTATTTACGCAATTAAATTGAGATAATAAACTTTATATTTTATTGCTTTTGTTTGACTTATTTACTATATATATTTTCTAATTAATTAAAAACAAAAGAACATAAAAAATTCTTTCAAAATTTTAAAAACAAAATTTTTTTTTATCGGAGTTCGAAAAAGAGACTAGCCACTGTACTGTCAACACATTCGGATATATATATATTTTTTTTTAACTAACCAGTTTATTTATCAATCTATCAATTGAAGTTGAAGTGCTTGAAAACGCCCTTAAATTTTTATACTTCATTCCTTGTTTATAAAGGTCGAAGGTCGAATTGATTGTATTTAACGTGAAATCTGATATTAGTGATGTATGAAGCGGGTTATTGACATACATCTTTAAGGAAAGGATATCAACGAAGCATATCGATGCTATCTCTGATCCATGCCCATAAGCTTCAATTA